CCTTTCTCTATTTTTTTTAAAGGCTGTGGATTCCTGATGTTTTATCAAATGGGAGTGATGAAAGCTCTACAAGAACTGGCACCTGAGATACTGAGATCAGCATCCAAGATCTATGGGACATCCTCCGGGGCACTTATAGCCACATTAGTGACTTGTGGGTGTGAAATAGGTAAGAAACGCCTGGTTGAATTTACTGTGTCGTATTGTGCTTTTTAAAGAAAAGTCATTGGACAAGTCTAAAAGTACTGACTGGAGCGTTCATTAGGAAAAAGGAAAACATAACCCATGCAGCCTAGAAACAGCAATGGTTGCACTTTCTACTAAGGGGCCACAGCTCCAGTTATGTATAGTAGTAGATACCCATTAATAGTGCTATAGATGCTATGTAGTGTTACAGTAATAGTATCCTGTAGCGTTCTAGATGCGAGAATAAGTTAATTAATTCTTATGGAATCTACCAGCTGATAAACCCAACAGCTTATAGGTTTTGTTGCTTTAATACGCAGCCATTGGACTTCATCTGCTGTAATAAAAGCCTTCATTATCCCCAAAAATGTTGTTTCTTGCCCCTGCACTGTTATTTACCAACTTTGGTAAAATCATTTTTGAACCTTTTTGAACCTTCCCATTCAGTTTTCACATACAAACATAAAACTCCCCTTGACTTCTCTGTCTTTGGCCCGCACAGATTTAAGGGCAAGACTTGCTCCCATATGGCTGCATGATCTACTAAGCATGGTCACTTTTTCCTTCTAGATGCAGTGGTTGGTTACATGACTGAAACTGTGAAAAATATGGAGGGTTCAATCCTCCGGTACCTGTATCCAAATAATAGAGTAATCCTGAATATACAGAAGGCGTTAGAAAAATGTCTGCCAGATAACGCTCACCAGCTGGCTTCACGGAGGCTGCACATTTTTCTTACTCAAGTATCAGGTCTCCAAAATGTTGTGGTATCAGAGTTCAGCTCCAAGGAGGAGATCATTCAGGTAAAAGCAGCTTTCTGAGTTTGGAGTAAATGGAATTGAGAGTCTGAGAAGCTCCTTCACAGAGGTATAAGGGGAAGTGTACTGGTGTAATGGGAGGTATAATGCAAGCCCTGATCCACAAACACTCTTTGACTGTTTATCTCATTTTGGACATATTAATGTTTTCAGCATGGGAAGTAGCCAGGTCAGTCCCTGGTGTCAGGCAGGACAGTGGCCATGGCTTATGATAGATTTACACATCCCAAGGTTATGGAACAGCTGAGGCTTCCCCACACCTACCATCCC